CCTCGCCGCTTCCCACGATCGCCGGCGAAGCTCCCTCCGCTTCGATGCGGGTCTGAGGCGCAGGTCCCGGAGGTGCCTGCCTGCAGCAGCTCTCCATCAGCCCAAGGAATGTCTGAGGGCGCCTTTCAGGCGCTCTGACTCCCACGTCAGAAAAAACAGTATTTCGACTTTCTTTTTTAATGCACTCTACCAGGCTTATGTTTGGAAATAGGTAACGCATATGGCAATAAAAGCCTGTTTTGTTTTAAAGCCAAGGAAAACATCCAGGAAATGAAGAAAGAGCTTGATTCGCTTTTGCAAACAGCTGAGAAGGCATTTACAGTGGAGCTGCTGAAGATGCCGGTTGCCATCAGGAAAATGAAAAGAAAAGACTTGCTTCGTAAGTGTGCGTGGTCTTATTTGCGAGGGATGCAGACATCATTGCAGCATGATGTACCCTTGACTAATGTGAGAAAACCTGTAAACTTGGTGACTTCTCTGAAAAAGTTTGCTTTGTCTGCTGAACGTTTTAAGCTAATCAGCAGTGGTGTTACGCTGCAGGTGCTCAGTAAGCACTCTTGTTCAAGTAGACTGACCTGCGTAACACAGGGTATAGAATTAGTAGGTAACAGTGTACAGAGTCTGGAGCCTTCTTTTATGTGTGCTCTTAAGTCATCTTATTTAAAGCTTGAAGATGCAAGGAATAATTACAAGTCCAGTATTTTTTTGTGCGTAAAAACTTAAGCACTTCTTTCCATCTTAATCTGTTCATCCTAGCCACAGAGATTGCTTTGTCTTTCTGATAATTTTGAAATCTACTGAGCCTTTCTTATTTAGTCATTTACCTGTTTAATTTTAACCTCACATTTGTGCAGCAGTTGAAGCTGTGGTGTACAGTCAGCACCAGATGTATATTCTGGTGAGAAGTGATGTTTTTGGAATCTACCTTGCAGCTGGAAATTGCAGGGGCCGCACAAACATCAAACCTAAGACTCTTGAAGAAATTGAGTTTACTGTAAGCCTTTGCTGAGTATGTATTTCAACGTCTGTCTTGAAAACTTCTGCCTAAAAGCATTAGCTTTCAGCAGAACAATGCACGGGGGATTTTCTTCTTTGAATGTAGGTTATATACTGTGTGATTACATTTAGTATCCTTTCAAAGATTAAACATACTGAAACGGCCTAAGATTTTCATTGTTGTTTTGTAGGAGTGACTATCCTACAAGGCTTGAATCTTGTTCAAATGCAACATATATGCTAGCTAAGGTTAACTATTTAAGCAACTGTAATCCTGAATTACTTGTTCAGTTTCATAGCCCATAAGATATGAACCTGCAGGTAATGATTATGCAAGTAATAGTATATAAACAAGTTATACTTTCTTGAGTTACAGATTTGCAAGGAGGGGAGGAAGTGGCTCTTGCTGCTGCAGTGGTAAGTGTGTGTTCTCAAATTTTATCACAGCTTACAGAATAGAATTCTTCTTTCCCTGCTGTAAACATTTCAAACAAATGATTTTGTTTGGCCGTCTGTTTAAATAGAAGATGATATGAAAAGGCTAGACAGCCAGCCATGCTGCAGTTATGAACATTACCTAAAGCTTTAGGGTCATATGTAGGCAGAAATCCAGATGTTTCTGAAAAAATAAACTGGTGTTTAGCCAATCCCACTTCTGTCACTTCCTTTTATGCCCTTTTAGTTCACTGCCTTTTGTAGGATAATAAGCATTTACTGGGCAAAATCTGTTGACTTTCCTTTGTCAGATAAACATTTTTTTTTTTAGACTGACTGCTCTCTAGAAGACATACCAAATCCAAAACTGGTGAGGACCAACAGCAAAAAAGGCAAGTCAATCCATTAATAAATAGCTGGGTTCTTAATTTTTTTTCATTGGTTTGAACTGAGCATTTGTAAAGCGAATGTTAAGCCTGAAGGATACAAGAGGGAAAAGTGTATAACTAGAAGTATAACATACAGGTCCCCCCAGCATTCAGTGTGGAGGATCATGAGCTGTGCTACTGTTGAGATACTTTCAAACATGAGATAAGAGTTCTTACTCTTTGGATTTATCACTGAAAATGGTGAGGCAGATGTGACTTGTCAGTGCTTCACAATACAGCAGAAGAGCTAGGAAAGTCACCCCTGTTTTCTCATAGGTTCTCCTTTGACGTCCTGCCCACTGAGGTTTGTAAGGAAAATACCATTTCTCTTCATACTCCAAAATATGCACTAAGGAGGACACCACCACTGAAGTGTAATTCTATTTTGTCTGGGGGTTAAAGGGTTATCTAGTGTCTTTTAACTGTCCCGTGTGTTACAGTGTCTGTGACAAACACACATAGTTTGCTTTGAACTCTGTCCCAGGCCAATGACCATGGGATAGCAGAACTGATACATAGCTGTCAGTGGGTAAACAGGCTTCAAACAAATGAGTTTGAAGTGGTGTTTTGTGCTCTTCATGAGATTTTTATTTTCCTTGTCTTTCTAATATATTTCTAGTTAAGGTAACTACAATTGTTGAATATGAAGATGCCAAGCATGTTTCTTCAAAGAAAATATCTAAAAAAGTAAGTTTATTCAGAACAAACAACATAAGGGTTTAATCAGTTCTGACCTGCTATGAACCCTGTTAGATCTGTGATTGGGCAGGCCAGTGGCCTGCTGTTTCTTTGAAAAATCAGCTGTTTTAAATTCAACGTATTTTAAGTTAAGGCTAAACTGTATAGTAAATTAATTTCGTAATGAAATATGGTATCTGCATTTCTGGTAACTCATTCACACAGACTTGCTAATACTGGCATAGTCATTCTCTCTTGACTTGTCAGTAAGTCTTAATGGTTTGAGGAAACTTTTTTTGTTGAAACTTTTTTAAAAAAACTCATGTTTTAATAGATGCTTTTCTAAATTTGAATGACTTGTGCATTCCTGTCCACCTTGATCTCTAAACCAAATAGCACGGGTGTATTAATTTTAGCACCTCAGTCCGTCTGTGCAATGCAGTGCCTCAGCCAGACGCTGAAGTATGTAGCAAGATGACAACAAAGACAAAAAGATTATATGCAGAGTTACAGGCATTAATTATAAGAGGACTTACAAGTTGGAAGGGTGTATATTAGAAAGGTGGTTGGTTGTACAGAACTCCAGTATGAACAAACACATTTTGGCATTATGAAACTCTTGTTTTGGAATGCATATTTGCCATTTTATGTATATGTAGAACTATATAAAAGGCAGCACTATGGGCCTTAACTGTTCTTTTTTAACAGGGAATTCTTACAGTATTGTTCCCTGGAAATATCTATCATTTTGCCTTAAAATGCCACTTCTTTTAACTGCAGTCTTACATATACATTTTCAGGTTTCCAAAACAAAGTCTTTGGTTTCATTGACCTCTGGTTTAAATAGCAAACTGAACCCTCTTTCTAGGTAAGACTGAACTTTGATAGCTTATTTAACTCACCTGAACTTGTGAATGCTGAATAAAACTCTTTTTTTCAGATAAAGGAGCCGGAATTTGAGGCCAATAGGAATACATCTGATAAAGATGTCTTCCATAACCTGAATTGGATGCATTGTAGTGATGTGAACCCTGAACAAAAAAGCACTTCTAGCTGATGAAGGGGTGTAGTTCTCTCTCCCGCTCACTGAATGGTGCATGGTTCTGAATCTACGTAATCAGTATAGATTTCCAAACAATACTTATTGGAAGGGATTGTGTAAGGGCGACATCTTTGTTGCTCTGTTAGGACTAATGAATTGTTCTGTAATAATTTTGCCCTCGTACATAGCTGAAAGGGAGGTGTCATTAGCAGGAAAATACGCACTTGCAAAACCCCTCTAGAGCTACTTACAGTCATGATGGACCAAATTCAAGTCTCACTATAAGATCTAATGAATTAAAAAATTGGTGGATATCTGCATGAAATTTTTTTTGAGAAGCTCCCGCTACATCTACAGCTCCAGTGTGCATACTCGTACCCACTGGCACTTATTTTGATACATTCAAGTTGTCTTCAGAGAAATGCAATTTAAATAATGTATCAGTGTTTAATGTGTCTAAAAGAAATTAAAAACTTAGCCAGGTTTAATTACTTTATTGAATTGGGATTATAGAATTTTTGGCTCGACAATATCAAACTAGAGAAGGCTGCTTTGCCTGGGGAAGTCTAACTTTTCAGTCTTTGAAGGTTGCTTTTATTCAAGTACACTAACACTGGGCCAAAAACACATGCCCTTACAGTATCTCCAAAATGTGTGTGGGAAAAGGGAGATGAGGAAAAGGGTGAGGTAAGCTTCTGTCATCAGGATTTCTGTGAACTGAGGTAAAATCTAAAACTGGAAAAAAATTGTTCTCTGGATTCAGGTCAACCACACAGAATAAATATCCTGAGAAGTAATCTAGAAAAATTAATTCCTGC